TGCAATGCACATGATGACATGATATGAGATGCATGACAACGACAACAACACACGAAGACAAAAACCTGAACCCGAGAAGATAAAATAACTTAACGCCGGAAACGGCAAGAGTTGGAGTACATATTGGGTAATTCATATCCGGGGTGTTACACGGGAGGAGGAGGAGGAAGAAGAGGACGCCGTCCTCCTCGGCATCCATTGGTCGTCGTGCCGGACCAGGGCGGCAGGATACGTCATCGGCGGGTCGTTCCTGCCCTCGAGGTGCCAGAGAACGGCGTGAAGCGAGCGACTGGGGCGCCCCACCACAGGCGGTGCCCCGTTGGTGGAGGGCAACCGTTGCGCCTGCCGCTGCTGGAAGTACGCCGCCCACGCCTCATGGTTGTCGGCGGTGTACTGCGGGAGGACCCGCTGCTCCTCCGTTAGCGACGCCCGCACGTGGTCGACCTCGTCGGCGAAGTGGTCGTCGCACGACGACGTCGGGTAGTGGGGGGATGGGAACGCCGCCGGCGCTGAGCCTCCACCCTCCCGGTCCTGCGCGCATGTCGGGAGGCGCCGGGATGTTGGCCTCGAACAGCAAGTACGCCTCCCACTCGTGCAGCGAGCGGCGGCCGAAGCCGTTGGCCGCTGCCCCATCGTCGAGGAATCGCTCGCCCATCGTCGCAGCTGGGCTTGGGGAGAGTGGGGAGGAACGGCGGCGGCGGCTGCGCACAGGGAGAGAGAGAGAGAGGGGTAGAGCACGTCGGAGAGGCAGAGCACGACGGCTGTTGGCGGGTGTGGCCACAGGCGAGGGGGTGTTGCTTTTATAGTGGCCGGGCGCCGTGTGTACGCGTGGCGGGAATGGGGGGCGTTGCCGCGCCGCCCGTGAGGAATCAATGGAAGACTGACCGGCGGGCAGCCTTGGCATTGATTCCCCGCGGGAAACCGAGGCGTTGTGAGGACAACGAGGCGGGTGTCGCCAACTCGGCGGGTCCACAGTTCGTTCGCACCAAAATCGCTTGCCCCGGCGTCCCCAGGCGCCACCCAGCGCGTTGAGTTCGGCCTGAATCCGTCGGCGCCAGTTTCGTCCCAAACCAGCAAAAAATAGACTCCTGGGAACGCGAATAGGCTGATTTTTGGGTGCCTACGTAAAAAATTCGTCGGGGAGCTTGTTGGAGACGCGGCTGGAGATACTCTAAGCTCATGTATCTAACGACCGTGGCTAGCAGCACGTGCTTGCGGCAGCGCTCCTCCAACCAATCTATGCCCGCGTGCGAGCGAGGAGCAAACAAAACGGACCTGGGCTAGAGACAAAGCTCTCCCCGTCGCCGCAACTTCTGGGGGAAGTTCTTACCTACCAAGTCGACTATGCTACCACGGACACCGACACCAATGAGCGGGCGCAGGGAGTGGGGAGGTCGACGACTGGCCTCACCGAAAATGAATTTGTGAGTAATGCCTATCATGAGAGCAAGTACAATAGTTCTACTAAGCAGGCTATAAGGGATTCCACATCAGCAATATTCTGAGCTGGAGGAGAGTTAAGACAGGAGAGAGAAGGTAGCGAGCGCTTCATCAAGCGCCCGGCTACAACACAAGACACGAGAAAGTTCCGCCTGCTTGCAGCCCGAAGCAAGCGCTAGTGCTGCCGTTTTCTGTTCCCAGCGTCCCCCTGTCCAATGAACAGCGTTTTGCATGCATGCAAACATTAATTACTTTAACTATCCAGCAGCTTGTATAGCGCCAGTCTTATTGCACAAGATTTCTTTTATGAAGGCTACTGCTGACATGGAGCTCGTATACAGCCAGTAGCCGGCGCTTCTATTAACCATGCTCTGAGTAATGCTCCTATCACCCATGGGGAAAGGGGATTGTTTCTAGGATTATGGCCTCCTGCTCAAACACGCTTATTTGGTTGCACCAGAACATGCTCTACACCGACCTGGCTGACACTTCGCCGCAGTGCGTATGCAGGACCAAGCTCGAGACTGTATGTAGACTATATTTTCAAGTGTCGGGACCGTATTGAAGTCGTTCATATAAGGGGGCCATTTTGAACATAACCCATTGCCACTTTATCTCTCTCTCTTGAAATCGAAACTTTAAATAGTAGGAGAGGGAAAGAAAGAACAACATAAACGAGGAAATGCATAGATGGTTCAGGAAAGTATGCATGATTATCACATATAAGGATTATGATTCCAATAAAAGAAACATGAAAATTCTTTCATACAGTTAAGATAGCTTTAGGCGACTCGGGCGCGACCGTTCACCTAGCGCCGCCGGAGGACGCCACCGACCGTTTTTGTGTGTGTGCGTTGGTGTTGGTTGTGTGCATCCTAGCTATGGAGAGACTGAGTGTGTGCTCACTGTGTTTGTATCCATTTGATGCTTCATTTTGAGTCAATAAAATCCATCCTTTATCAAAAAATCATTCCAACAATATTGGGTCAAGGCGAACCAACCTGTGGTTGGATAGTTAGAGGGACTGTGGTATCCCCAGTCTACCAGAGTTCAAGTCCTGGTTCATATTTATTCCTCAATTTATTTTAAAATTTCCGCCAATGCGCATTCAGTAGGAGGAGACGTTTCCGTCGACGACGAGGTGCCTACAGTGACTTTGTAAATTTCAAGATGATATGTCGGCCCAGTCTTTCGGAGGTGCTCATAGAGGCAGAATGTGTGTGTTTATAGAGATGAGTGTATGCGCGTGTATATGAACCATTGCGTCTGTACTATGTTAAAAAAACATTATTGTGTCAAGTTTTGTTTAGACTTGGTTCATTGTTCAAGATATATCGGCCTATATTCCGATAAATCGGCTGATTTATCGCTTACCGTGTCTAACCGATAAGATAAATTGACTGATATGCTAATAAAATGGTTGATTTATCTTTTATCCTGGGTCGATCATAAGTTTTCGATAAGCAATATCCTCAACATTGACTTGATCTTAGACCACTACTTTACCTTTATCAACCTTAAAAGGAGCATTAGACTTTAACATATTTATCAACCCGACGTAGGAGCATGGGATTTGGACACATCAGCAGCAAACATGTTGAAGTCGGTATGGCTTTTGGCCGTGTCTTTTTGCATTTAAGTTCTTGAGAGGAGAATCGGTTGGAGGCTTTGCGGGATGGATGCTTTACACCTACTCCCTCCGTCCGGGTTTATTGGGCCCAAGAGCCAAAGTGCAAAGACCAAGAAAGAGCAATAAATCTTACAAATTGCCTCTGTAATCGCTCTATTAATTACCCCTATTAACTAATCCAGCGCATGCAGTGGCTACCGCATGGATGCAGCGTGCATGCATGTCCAATCAATGAGGACCATGCGCTGCCTTCCATCGGGTGATGTGGAATCAAGGGAATAAATGACGCGTAATTTATGAAGGGGGCCTAAAATTTTGGTACAACCTTTGATGGCTCAAGGGCCCAATAAACCCGGACGGAGGGAGTATCTCGAAAGGAGAATCGATCGGAGGCTTTACACCCATCTTTTTCGTTTTGCATTTCATTTTCTAAAACCAAGAGAAATATGAAATGAAAGGAATTCAATACCATAAACGGTTTTAAAACGAGGACTAAGGGCATCTCCAACGCTAATCCGCAAACCCCCGCATAAGTTTGGATCGCGCTGTGCGAATCACGGAAGTCGTCCAACGCGGGCCTGTATCAATTCACAAGACGGTCCAGACGCGTTTCCTTCCACAAACCGGAAACAAACATCGAGGGCTTTATGGGATTCCAGACTGCTGCCATGCCTGCTTCTGACCGTCTTGGCCCATCCAAACCCCCACCCGCCCCTCCCGCACGTTCCTTTCGATGCACGCGCCACTTACCGCATCGCATTTATATCGGTCCAGAGCATGCAACGGCCGACATTGATGCCACGATGTGACCGGAGGGAGGGGGCTGCGGTGGCCGACGCGACCTCTCAGGAGCCGTCGCTTCAATGCGGATACAACTTCCCGAGGAACAGACTCTGGCCGCTAAGCCGCGTTGAAGCGGCTGACCGGCCCTTCGCATGGCTTGTTCGCATCTATATAAACCACGCTCCGGCACCGTCCACATCGCAATCTATCCTCCTTCTCCTCCTCCCCTCTCCCTGCCCATCTCCCTCCACAACTCCGGCGATGGGCAAGTCCTGGGCATCGGCGCCAGCAAGCGGCGGTTCTGGGCGGACTTGGGCTGATTGTGGTGATGCCGCCCTCGAACTCCTGGGCCGTTGTCCTCATCGACGAGCGGTCTCTTGGACGAAGGCGGAGATCGTCATCTCCTCCAGCGACGAGGAGGACAAGCCACCGCAGCAGCACCAACAGCCCGCGTCATTGGAGGCAGGCCAGGTGTACGCCGCCATCGACACGGAGTACAAGGAGCAGATGGAGCTGATGCTCCATCACTATGTGCTCCGCCTCAACCGCCCGGCTCCGCCACCAGGGATGCTTCTCCTCTTGAAGCCGGAGCCGGAACCCCCTCCGCGCTCTCCACCTCGCATGGCCTATGAGGTCATCGTCAATTATAGGGTAGTTTATGGTTTCATTTTAAGGTTTTTAGTTTACTGGACGAAATATCGTTCGGTTTTATGTACAGATTATCATTTTTTTAAATGAAATCTGTTGTGTTTATATCAAAATTTGCCCGGTTGCATGAATTTTGTCGGGTTGGTTTGAACTGTTGTTAGCATATATGTGGCTACGGTTGAATGGTGATCTCTAGCATTCGTGTTCGCGGATAAATACGGGAGGAAATATACGGGTCCTGTTGAAGATGCCCTAAATATGCATTTTACTCGCCAGAACAGAACGTTAGTGCTGAAGATACGTGCCAGTCCTACCACTGCCATCAGTAGCAGAGCCACCTCGGTGGGCCCGACGACAGAGGGTCGTTTTAGTAGACAAAGAAAAGGGGGCAGAGGTTTGGGTCGCTCCTTCTCAGAAACCCCAGATTCCCAAATTCCTCCCCGACCTCCATCCCGTGGAATCCAACCAACGCGGGGAGGCACCCAGCACACCGGCGACGATGATCCAGCTCCTGTTCGTGGTGCTCGTCGCCGAGGCGGCCGTGGCGACGGTGCTGCTCTTCAAGACGCCGCTGCGGAAGCTCGCCATGCTGGGTCTCGACCGCCTCAAGCGCGGCCGCCGGGCGCCCGTCGCCGTCAAGACCGTCGCCGGCGTCGTCGTCACGCTCCTCGCCTCCACGCTCTACAGCATGGCCGAGATCAGCGCCCGCGCCGGGGACCCCGAGGCTGGAGGCGGCGCCGCCCTCTCTCCCACCGACCAGGTCCTCTTCTCGCGCCACCTCCTCGAGGCGTCCCTCATGGGTAGGTCTTGGTGACGCACGTCCCTCTTGCTCCCTTACGGCGTTTTGACTGGAAATCGTATCTATGTGCCTGCTTTAGTCTTGCTTGTATCGTCCTTGTATGAGACGGTAGAGAGATTTGGTGATGTACAGATCCATCTCATACAGATCTTTGCTCAAATTGCAACATGCAAGTAACTGAAATTGGTAGGAAGAAGATGCGAGGGGTTAAACAGTATAAGGTGGTGTTTGGATGGGGAATTGCAATCTGAGATAGATATTAGGATATGGAGATATGGGTTTTGGATTAGGGTATGCCATTTTTTTTCTTTCACCACAAAATTTCTTGTATGTTTCAGGTTTGGGAATAAAGTTCCGTATGACCAAAGGGATGGAACCATATGGATTATTATGGAACTTTACAAGCATTTACTTATATATTCATGGGAACAAATGGAAAATTCTCGCTGCTTGATCATGTTTTGTCTTGTTTTGAAGAATCCCCATAACTAAGAATTTCAAACAATAGTTTCCAATTGGCTGGCTGTATCGAACTTATTCCTCCATCTGTTTTGTATGAATGAACTAGCTTTTGATGTAGACATAGGCTCGTTGTGCAAGTATCCTAGCCATGTGGGAGATTGAACATTAGGCTTTGATATTGTTTCTCTTATTGGCCTGTTATTTTTTTTACCGAATCCGCTGATTTAATCCCCGCTAATCATAGTTAAGGTTAAGTTATGAATTGTGCAACTGTTGTATTGGGTGGATTTATGTGCTTGAATTTTTTGATTATTGTGCCCTGTAAATTCAGGCCAAATTCAACAGGTCTCTTCTTGACTTCTATCATCCTTGATTTACACCTAAGTTCTGGCGCAACTAATTGCTCCCATAGAGTTTATGGTGCCATTCAAATGCTTAATTTTCGTTTCTCCTGCTAGTTAAGTCTATGTTGGGATTTTATTTCATGTTTCCTCAACTCGTTAAGTTCTAGTACATCAGTTTTTATTATGTTCTGGATTTTTATTGTATGTTTATTATGATGTAGTATGTGTTGCTGAAACAGAATAAAAAGAGTTATTAGTAGGTTCACCTTTTCCATACCAATACCTTTCTTCAGTAGTGTATTTGTTTCCATGTTATAAGTTACTTATTTTCTCACTTCCCAAACGCGTGATGTTACTTATGTTCAAATCTGAAACTGTTTCATTACCGCAACTACAAACTTTGTCAGACAAGTGACGTGGGGGGCGGGGGGTTGGGGGTGAATTGCCACACTCTTGCTGTTACATACGTTCAGGTTAGCGCAGCTACTAACTTCACTAGAAAAGTGATGTGTGGAGGTGAATTCCAGTTTATAGATAATATAACGTACTGTATTTCTCAACTGTACCAAAATAAATCCACTTCGTACTTACCACGATGCATGATATCTGTTCTCCTATTTGGCTATGCTAATGTTCTGAGTGATTTTTTCAGGTTACACTTTGTTTCTTGCTCTAGTCATTGACCGACTCCACCAATATATCAGAGAACTACGTGGGCTAAAGAAGAATGTCGAGGCTGTATCGAAGCAGAACAAAACATTAGAGGAAGGAAAACATGGAAGATCTCAGGAGATAGCGAAATACCAGGAAGAGGTTGCCACTCTGAACGAGGAGATGAAGAAACTGAAGCTGCAAGTACAAGAGAAGACCGAGGAGGTCCATGTTGCTGAGGACAAGGCACTTGCTATTCAAAAGCAATCTGAAAGCTTGCTGCTTGAATATGACCGGCTCCTGGAGGATAACCAACATCTCCGGGAGCAGCTGCAGTCAATTGATCTCAGGCTCTCCAATCCTTCCTGAGAGAAGAATGTATTTTAGTAGAACATTATCCTACCGTGAACCTACTTCGTGCTTGAAATTGTCTGTCGCTTTTGGAACGAAGTTGAGGTTACTCTTTCCTAGGATGTTAATACCCAGATGACATGCTAATTTAGTAATGCCTCTCTTATCGGTTTTATTGTCTTGCAGAACAATATGGTGAAACATGTATGCTAGTACGCAGTTAAGTTTGTGAACCGCTGTTAAAGTGGTGCACTGTTCTAATGTTTTTAGTGATGTCTATTTTTCCGCTTAGCCGTTCAGCATCATATAATCTACTCCCTCAGATCCATAGTAAGTGTCGCAGTTTTGAACTAAGGTTGAACTAACCTTAGTTCAAGACCGCAACACTTATTTTGGATTGGAGGGAGTATATGTTTAAAAATGTTTGAGAATTTCAAAAATTGTTTGGATTTTATAGAAATGTTAAAATCAAAAAGCTCACAATTTTAACAAGAAAGTTTTTTTTTGTGTGTGTTAAGAGCAACTCCAACGGGGCGACCTATTTCGTCCGCTGACGTCCGTTTGGGTCGGCGCGGACACAAAAGTCGGCCCAACGTGCCGATCCAAACAGACGCACGTCCGCTTGGCGTCTGTCTGCCAACCCATTTTCGGCCCATTTTTGAGCCGGATTTGCGTCGGCGCGGACACGAGACGGACGAGCGTGGGCCTTCTCCTCCCCTCAGGCCCGTTGGTCAGTGGTAGCCTCCACCATTTTCCTCTATTTCCCCCCAAAACCCTCCCGCTCGTGCGTGCTCCCGTCCCACCCCCCGCCATAGACGACGACGTGCTCGACCTCGCCGCCGCCGCCCGGGTGGAGATCATGAAGGTGGATCTCAATACCGTGTCGCCAAGGAAGAGGTCGTGGTTCGGGAAGATGCAGGCCGACATGCTCAAGTTCAACGATGAGTGATCTCGTGGCGGCGAGCGCCATCTTTTTTTTATGCCGGCGGGTGTGCTGGTATGACCACGGGACCGCGATGGCGTGATCGAACTCAAGTCCCATCCCTTTTTTGTGTGCTGGCATGTATGCCGGCCGCTGACGATTGCACCAGCATGAACTGTGTGATGATATTTTTTAAAGCCGGCATTGTATGCCGGCGCTGGCATGGTGACAGCTTGAGACATGGCTGCTGGCATGATCTATGGCCACGGCCATTTTTTTAAAAATTACATGTGGACATGAAATGGGTCGGCGCGTTGGGCGCACTACCGTTTCAAATCTAAAACAGGGCGGATGCTGGACGGACGGCCGACCCAAACAAACAAAAAGCGAACAAATGCACCGTCCTTTCATGTCGGCCCGTTGGAGTTGCTCTAACCGCTAGAAACAGTACCACACTGAAAAAATCACTTGCTGCTGAAGATGCTCTTACACGTATTATGATCAGTTCCAACTAATATTCCTGCACTTAGTTCTGCATTGATTAATTTTCCCATGCGCAAGTGTGATTCAGATGCATGCAGCTCATGAAGCACACTACAGAGTACACAGCAAGGGAAGCACGATACAGTCTTTTACGTGTTTCATTCATTTATTCTAGGTATTTCAATTGGCGGCCATTTTTTTTTAATTTTTTTATCTGAATTGCATTCATTTGCCTACAAGGCTTTGCAGCCCATCGCAAGATAGAATGCAAGTGAACCAAAATTATAGGAGGCACAGGGCGAAGAGATAACCATAAAATGACACACACACCAACACTACACATAGCATGGGAGAACAAAGATGGAAAACACAACGATGAGCACCGCCGGTGTAATCTAACGGCATCAACCAGCCGAGACCAAACCACGACATTGTACCGTTGACACAATTGAATGACTCCGTACATCCGAGACTGCACAACGCCGCGACACCATGTGTCATGGAGCGCATTCGAAGGGACACACGAGGCCAAGACGGCGCCACAACACCTCTGTGCCATCGATGTAGTCGAAGGGCATCATCTAGCAAACCAAACCACGACACTGCACCGTCGACGCCATCGAAAGCCGCCGCATAACTGAGACTGCACAACGCCACGACACCACCTGTGTCGAGGGTACATTCGAAAGGTTACGCGAAGCCAAGGCGACGCCATAGTATCTGTGTGCCACCAGCGTAGTCGTAAGGCACGGCCTAGCAGAGACACACCAAGGACACTCGAGCACGACACACACTACCATTGACCCAAGACCGGCCACACCACCACCATCAACCTCAAACCGGCAAAACAACATCCCAGACCTCAGGCGAGCAGCGTCTCCAAAACAGATGCCACCAAGGTGGTAACAACGTCGAGGACGCCATCATCATACAATCCAGGAGCTGGATCAAAGGATTTCACCCGGAGAATGAACAAAGTAGGCGAGGAACCAATGCATCACACGACTGCACCTCCAAGGAGGGATCCGACGCCACAGGGCGTCGCTGCCACCAGTGCCGACCGAAGCCGACATAAAGCTTTCGCCCTTTTGCATCACCCTCGCTGTAATGCTCAGAATGCGGCTATATATCCCACGTGTCGAGGCACGACTTAGAGGCATAACCGCATTGTGGTTTTGTCGCAAGAAGGGTCATCTTCACACAATCCCATGTAATGAACAAGAAAGGGATAAATAGATAGTTGGCTTACAATCACCCCGTCACACAATGATCAAATAAATCAATACATCATCCAGAGTACACACATAGTCCGACTATGGACAAATCCAAAAGAAAAGAAGATAACCCTAAATACTAGATCCCTGATCGTCCCAACTAGGCACCACTACTAATCATCAGGAAAAGACATGTAGTAACGACCAAGGTCCTTGTCAAACTCCCACTTGAGTTCGGTAGCATCACATGCACTGGTATCATCGGCACCTGCAACTGTTTTGGTAGTATCTGTGAGTCACGAGGACTCAGCAATCTCAAAACCCACGAGATCAAGACTATTTAAGCTTATGGGTAGGATGAGGTGGAGTTGCAGCAAGCACTAAGTAAATATGGTGGCTAACATACGCATATAAGAGTAAGATGAGAAACTACGCAACGATCGTGAAACTAGAAGTGATCAAGAAGTGATCCTGAACTACTTACGTTCAAACTAACCCCACCGTGTTCACTTCTCGAACCTCATCGAAAAGAGACCATCACGGTTACACACACGATTGACGCATTTTAATTAAGTCAAGTGCCAGGTTCTCTACAACCGGATATTAGCAAATTCCCATCTGCCACATAATCGCGGGCACGACACTCGAAAGTTTAAACCCTGCAGGGGTGTCCCAACTTAGCCCATGACAAGCTCACGATCCGCGGAGACAATCCTCCATCGCGGGACCCTCCGATCAGACTCGGAATCCCGGTGCATAAGATATTTCGACAATGGTAAAACTAGTCCAGCAAGACCTCATGATGCACCGACCTAGCCTGATAGGAGTAGAGCGATCTCGTTCTCAGGATACACCGGATGAGCTACGCGTACAGGTGTATACCAAATACCCTAAGTTGCCAAGGGGTGGCCCCGCACAGTGCTCTAGTTTGGACCAACACTCATGTGGAGCACTGGCCCGGTGGTTGATTAAGTCCATGGGGTCCGAAAAGTCCCTATGCAAGTTTTAGTTGTGATTAGGCAAATGGTAAAACCAAGGTTGGGGCTTGCTGGAGGAGTTTTATTCAAAGCGAACTATCAAGAGGGGCCCATAAACCCTCACCGTATTAGGGACGCAAAATCAAGGAACATAACATCGGTATGACGGAAACTAAGGCGGTAAGAATGGAACAAAACACCGAGCAAAAGGCCAAGCCTTCCACCCTTTGACAAGTATATAGATGCATTAATTAAATAAGAGATATTGTGATATCCCAACATATCCATGTTCCAACATGGAACAACCTGCAAGGCACCTGCAACTAGCAACGCTATAAGAGGGGATGAGCAAAAGAGGTAACTTAGCCAAACAAATGTTTGCTAGGAAGGTGGGTTAGAGGCTTGACATGGCAATATGAAAGGCATGATAATCAAGTGGTAGGTAGCGCGACAAAGCGATAGAACGAACAACTAGCAAGCAAAGATAGAAGTGGTATCGAGGGTAATGGTCATCTTGCCTGCAAAGTTCTCGGGGTTGTCGAAAGCTTGCTCCTCATAAGCGTACTCAACAGGTTCCTCGTTCACGAACTCGTCTCCCGACTCTACCCAAAACAAGAACACAAGCAACGGAACAACAATCAATCACGGTGCAATGCACAAGCAACATGATGTAAGACATGGCATGGAATGCAAGATAGGATGTGCAATGCATATGGGTACTCCGGAAGGGAAATGATGATTAAGGCATAAACTTGGCAAACCAAGTATTCCGCTGGAAAGATGGGGTGATTTCGGTCGAAATTCATATAAGGATCACCGGAAACGGATGCACGGTTTGCAAATGACAAGTAAAACAAGAATGATGCAAATCTGCGCTTAACAGCACCATAGCACTTAGGATACATCAAGAAACTATGCTACAGCACTCCAACATAGCAACAAAGCACATGGAAGTAAAGTATACATGAAGCTCTACAAATCATGAACACCGAGCTCCTACTGTAACTCACTAGAACAATCCTAAAATAGCATGGCAAAAATGCACATGATATCAGCTTCACAGACTTAGAGAAAATACTAAACATGTCAAAACAACACCAGGTAGCAATGTTTAGAGCTAGCAAACAACATGCTACAATAACATATCATGGCAAATAAAGGTATGGCATGCTAGTACTAAAGACATAGAACAAAACTCCCTTACTGGACTTTACCCAAAGATGCACGGAAAATATGATAGCATCCATGCAAACATGGCAAGTTATATGTTTAGTTTCAGACTAAGAGTGAATTGAAAAAAGCCACCACATTGAAGCGTAGGTTTGCAGAAAAGACTCTTCTACGAATTTGTGCCCGAAAACACTGATTCTTGGCCTAATCTTTTGCAGAAAACACTACTTGATGGATTTAGCCCATTTGATG